CTTTTGATTTATTTCCTTCAATTTTGCTATTGAATTGTAAATATATTTTAAAAGTTGATAACTTTTGTATTTCTTATCGGTTTTACATATATAATATATCAAATTAATTATCTTTTGATATATAATATATCAAATTAATCATCTTTTGATGATCTTCGATTTGACATCCATATTGTATATATGAAATAAATATATCTTTATAATAATAAAAAAATTATAATATTTATTAAAATTCATTAGAAAAATAAAATTAATTCTCAATTGATATATTTATGTTTAATGTAGTTATATGTTGTAAGTCAAAAAAATATTATAATATAACATATGTAAGTCGCACAAATAAAAAAATGTCATACTAAATATATAATAATATATATTTTTATAAAAGGTATTGAATTTTTAAGTTACTGTTTCTCATTAATTTTAGATTTTAAGGAAAAAATTAGCAAGCACCCGTGTAATATACGGATTCTACTAGTATATATATATATATAGGGGGAGGTTCCAATGAGTCCACTCCTTAAAATGAGTCAACTCCTTAAAATGAGTCCATTCCTTAAAATATATATTAATTAAATAATAAAATAATTATTAGTTGACTCCAGCGTTGACCGTTGACTTCCGGCGAAAAATCGTTGACTTTCGCCGTTGACCATTGACTTCCAGTGTTGACTCCGACGTTGACCATTGACTTCCGGCGTTGACCCGTTGACCCCTAGTATGCATTATATGTATGAAGTAAATATGCATCCAGTACCATGCATTCAATATGAACTAAATATGCACCAATAATATCAACTAAGTATGCACCTGTTATGAACTAAATATGCATATGTTATGAACTAAATATGCATCATGAATGAACTAAATATGCAGCGAAAAATATGCAATAAAATGTGCATTTCATATAGGTAATTTATGATGCATATTTAGTTAATTTTTTATGAATATTTAGGTAATTTATGATGCATATTTAGTTAATACGAAATGCACATTTGTTATATTTAAATTAAATATATAATAATATTCATATAATTAATTATTATGCATATTTACTTAATTCATGATACATATTTTAGTTCTTACGAAATGCATACTTAGTTCATGAACAGTGCATACCTATTTTATTTGAGATCCAATCATAACAATTTATTTGTGTTATTAATCAATTTAAAATTAAAATTAACTATATAATAAAAATTATTTGTGTTATTAACTAAATATGCATCTGTTATGAACTAAATATGCATCATGAATGAACTAAATATGCAGCGAAAAAATATGCAATAAAATGTACATTTTATATAGTTAATTTATGATGCATATTTAGTTAATTTATTGTGAATATTTAAGTAATTTCTGATGCATGTTTAGTTAATACAAAATGCATACTTGTTATATTTAAATTAAATATATAATGATATTTATATAGTTAATTTATGATGCATATTATTTAGTTTATTCATGATACATATTTAGTTCTTACGAAATGCATATTTAGTTCATGAACAGTGCATACATATTTTATTTTGAGATCCAATCATAATAATTTATTTGTGTTATTAATCAATTTAAAATTAAAATTAATTATATAATAAAAAATCATTAATTATTATATTTAATTTAATTGTATAAAATGTATATTTTATTGCATATTTTTGTTGCATATTTAGTTCATTCCTGATGCATATTTAGTTAGTAAAATGTGCATATTTAGTACATAAACAGTGCATACATAGTTGATATTATTGCTGCATATTTAGTTCATAAGGATGACATATATAACTCATTTCTTATGCATATTTAGTTCATACTAAGTGCATAATACTGTATGCATATTTACTTCATACAAAATGTAGACTAGGGGTCAACGGTCAACGCCGGAAGTCAACGGTCAACGCCAAAGTCAACGTTTTTTTGCCGGAAGTCAACGGTCAACGCCGGAAGTCAACGATCAACGCCGGAAGTCAACGGTCAACGCCGGAAGTCAACGGTCAACGCCGGAAGTCAACGGTCAATTGTCAAAATAATATTTAAATAATTAAAATAATAAAAATAAAGAATTAAGTAATAAAAATAAAAAATTATTATTTAAATGAAGAGTTAAATCTTGGCCACACATCATGTACCAATCTAGTGGCTAGGAATGGGTCTCACATTCACACTTTAAATATGTGTACTCATTGGATCCAATCCCTATATATATATAACAAAAACAAGTTTATTGGAAGGTGTAAATGTAAAAGCTGCCACGTGTCACCCATATAATGCCACAAACAATATAGATAAAATATAAATAATTAAAGTAATGTTCTCTATTCACAACAAAATTAAAATTAAAAACAGGATAATCGAAGGAAAAATCTCAGTCTACTGGCCATGGCAGCTGCCATGGTTGCTTCCCCTTCATTTCTGGGGACGTGCTGCAGCTCATTTCATATCGTAAGCGCCTTTCCAATTTCTTCTTCATTTTCCTATTTTTGATTGTATTTGTCAAGTTCTTTTTTCTCATCCAGCTTTAGAAGAGGATGAGGAGTATGGTTGATTTATTCGAATTCATCTGTGTACTTGAGGTTCATAGTTATAATTTTTATTAAAATTTTATGCACTCATGTAGTGATGGCAGTCCTTAGTTTCTCTCATCGATACTCAGAAAATGATTTTTCTGAAAACAAAAAAAAAAAAAATAATAATAA